TTTTCAGTGCAGTAAATGTGTCCGCTTCCCCGCGCCCACATTCACTCACAGACATGTTAAGCCCCACGGGGCTCGCCCCGCTCTCTCTCCCTCAGCAAACTGCTATAAGGGATTTGAGCACGGCCAGGCTGCCCGTCGCGATCGGCGCGCCCCGCCTCACACACTGTAAACACAGTGTCTGCGTTACAGCACGCCGGAGCTCCCTTGCCGTCACTATGTCACGGCCAGAGCCCAAATCTTATTCTACCCCTAGCTATTCACGCGAAAGTGTGGGCACAGCTTCCCGGGGTATCAGAATGGGTGCTGAACACTATAAAAAGAGGCTATTCGCTACAGTTCGCTCGACGCCCCCGCCGTTACACGGCACGCATCGAATCCACGGTGAAAACAGAAGTAGCACATCTACTTCGAGCCGAAATAGCGACAATATTGAGCAAAGGGGCGTTAGAGCCCGTATCTCAAGCTCAGAGCGAAGGGGGTCTGTACAGCAGATATTTCCTGGTACCAAAGAAAGACGGGGGTCTCAGACCCTTTTTAGATCTAAGACATCTGAACAGAGCGCTTATGAAACGCCAGTTCAGAATGCTCACAACCAGCAAAATCCTCGCGCAGATTTGCCAAGGGGACTGGTTTATGTCAATAGATCTGAAGGACGCATATTTCCAGACACAAATTGCGTCACGTCACAGGCGATTTTTGAGATTCGCCTTCGAGGGCCAGGCATATCAATACACAGTCCTACCGTTCGGCCTGTCCCTTGCACCCCGTACATTTACGATGTGCATGGACGCGGCGCTCGCGCCTCTGAGGCTTCAGGGCATGCGAGTCTTGAACTATTTGGGCAATTGGCTGATTCTAGCTCGATCTCGTTCAGAGCTCATAGAACACAGGACCATGCTACTCGAACACCTCAAAAATCTTGGTCTCACAGTCAACTGGCCGAAGAGTTCGCTGTTCCCCAGCCAGGAAATATCCTTTCTGGGCACAGAGCTGAACTCGCTGTCAATGACAGCGCGACTATCACCAGAGCGCAGACTGAACATTCGGCGCTTTGCGAAATCCTTCCACTGCGGCACTATAGTCCCGCTCAGGAGGTTTCAGAAAATGCTGGGCCTCATGGCCTCAGCGTCATCAACACTCCAGCTGGGTCTGCTTCGCATGCGCCCACTGCAGTGGTGGCTGAAAGCACGAGTGCCGCCTCGAGCTTGGGCCTCCGGTCAGTTTCGCCTCTGGGTCAATCAGGAATGCGTCTCAGCCCTGAAACCTTGGGAGGCAAGGCAAGGCAAGGCAAGGCAAGTTTATTTATATAGCACATTTCATACACAATGGTAATTCAAAGTGCTTTACATAGAAGAAATTAAAATAATCAAAACAAATAAGAATAATTAAAACAGTTTAGAATAAAAAATAAAGTACAGAAAAAAAACAGTCGGACGAACAGTGGCACAGTGCTCATTCAGTAAATGCATAGCTAAACAGATGTGTTTTGAGTCTGGATTTGAATGTGACTACTGTAGGAGCACATCTGATCTCTTCTGGAAGCTGGTTCCAGCTGCGGCTGGCATAATAGCTAAAAGCAGACTCTCCTTGCTTAAGGCTGGTTCACATGGGACGATTTTAAAATTGTCGGCCGATTTTACAAACCTGAGAGACCCCACACACAGCGATAAAAAATCACGGGTCTAACAGTTTTGGTCGTACAGTGTGTGGTGCGCAGCCACACGGCAAAATCAACACATCACACACGAACCGATTTGACTCCCGAGCATTCCCAGGTCAGACGGAAAATCTCGCAAAATCCTTCAAAATCAAACGTGACTTCAGAGTAGCCTAAACAATCATGGCGGACGAAGAGGATGTTGAGTAGTTTGTAGTTTGTTTTTAACCGAAAAAAAACGTTATCAAAAGAAAAGTGCGGGATGCACGGGATACCATTGTGTTTAAACTTTATTTTTCAAAATGGATAATTTCTTGAATTTTCTAAAAAACGACATTTAGCCTACTTGTATTTTTAAAGTAAATTTTTTGGGAGGAAAAAGCTCAGTATAATATAAGCAATAAAATACTTCACATATAAAAAATTTATATAGGGTAGCCTAAAACAAAAACATTTAAAAAACTGTAAAACGTTAAGTTATATAAAAATAAAACATTAATAAATTATTTTTTGATAAACATTACTGTCTTAAGTGAACTCATGTATAGTCATAAATGCAAATAATAATTGTCATTATTATTAGCCTACATTTTGGCTAGAAGACGCTTTTATCCAAAAAAGGAACAAAGCAATTCGTCAGTCATAATACTGGTTAGACAATAATAATACAGGGCTAAGATTATTACAAATGACGCATATCCAGGGTTTGTGCGAGTGTGGAGCGCGCTCTGCATGACCAGAGGCGCGCGGGCGCGAACACTTGCGTTTTTCTATCAACAGTGGAAACAACTTAAAATACTCTATCATTTCTGGTCATACAGAAAATAAAAAATACATCAGTCGCAACTACTTTTATTTGTGTAAACTCACAATAACAAGAAAACGTTGTGCTTTTGTAAAATAAAAGAAAACAATCAGGCGCGCTTTCGTGGTCTCCGTAACTGGATTGCGTCTCAAAAATGAACTGAAACAAAACATAGCCTACCTATATATGTAGGCTAAAGCTTGAAATGTCAATTTTTAAACGAATAAATTCGAATCGAAAGCAAATGCAGTCTGATTATGTAATCCATATGAATTTCTCATCTAAAGGCGCATCCGCTTTACAGCGGAGATGGAGATATTTCCAGCCGATTTAAAAAATACTAGGCTAGTTTATTAATAAACAATTAAAATGCCTCGTTACTTTTTCAGACACATTTATTATTATTAGCCTATAAATCATCTATAGCCTAAATCAGCTCTCGTATGGTTCCAGAGACACGGGTCTTCACCACTAAGGGAAAAATATAATTTCCGCGTTTGGCCTTAGAAAACCAGTAAAATCTAAATTTTTTCCATATTAATTTGTGAATATTTTAAATGTTTAATTTAGGGACAAAAAGTCATAAACAAAAATCTGAAAATACGTCAATATTTATTATTTTGCGCAGCATTTGGAGTATAGCCTATGCATTTCAAATTAAAATTTTGGTGTTCAACTTTACGTTTTAGAAATATAACAACCGTTCATTTTTCAATTACGGGTTAAAAAAGGAAAAACGAATGGACGCAAAAGTACACGGACCAATGGGTAATTTTAAAGCTTGTTCATGATTTCAATGTGTTTAAACGAGAAAACAAGCCCAAAAACAATGGGCGTTTTTTTGTGCATTCTCGCGGTTTTTGACGAGGTTTTGGGCTGGAAAACCTTGCTGGCATCTGGGGAGACCACACACGAGGAGAAATCGGGCCAAAAAAATCCAACATGTTGGATATCCCCGATTTGAGATCGAGCGGTCCCGACGTCCTTCCGAGCAGACGAGAGCAGTCTTAACACACCACACACGACAGGAATATCTGATCAGATTATTTTACGATAATCGGAGCATCCTTAAGATTGTCGGAAGGGGTGAATCGGGGCTAAAATCGGCCTAATTATCCTGCCGTGTGAACCAGGCTTTAGAGTGAACCCTTGGTATTTCTAGCTGATGTGATCCTAATGATCTGAGTGATCTGTTAGGTTTATATTCAGTGAGCATATCTGCAATATATTGAGGTCCTAGCCCATTAAAAGATTTATATACCAGTAATAATACTTTAAAGTCAATCCTAAATGTAACTGGGAGCCAGTGTAGAGACCTGAGGACTGGTGTGATGTGTTCATATTTTCTGGTTCTGCTCAGGATCCTGGCAGCAGCGTTCTGTATGAGCTGCAACTGTCTTATGGTCTTTTCAGGAAGGCCAGTGAGGAGTCCATTACAATAATCCACCCTGCTGGTGATAAAAGCATGCACAAGTTTCTCTAAGTCTTGATTGGAAACAAAGCATCTAATTCTTGCAATATTTTTCAGATGATAGTATGCTGATTTAGTTATTGCTTTGACATGACTACTGAAACTAAGGTCTGACTCTAGAGACACACCAAGATTCCTGACTTGATTTTTAGTTGTTAGACCCCTAGCGTCAAGGTATGCATTCACCTTGAGAACTTCATTTTTGTTTCCAAACGCAATGACTTCAGTTTTGTCTTTGTTTAACTGAAGAAAGTTTTGGCACATCCAACTGTTTACTTCATCAATGCATTGGCACAGGGAGTCAATGGGGCTGTAATCGTTAGGCGATAGGGCTAAGTAGAGCTGTGTGTCGTCTGCATAGCTGTGGTAAGAGATTCGGTTCTTTCTCATTATTTGGCTCATTGGGAGCATATATAGGTTGAACAGGAGTGGTGCAAGAATTGAGCCTTGAGGGACTCCGCATGTCATGGACGTCCACTGACGAACGACTGGTACCAGTCAGGTGTAAACCTGGGGACTTCCTCGAGTGTGCAGGTAGTGTCCACGGACGCCTGGAGGGCAGACCGTTCTTCGGCCAGTGGTCAGAACGGGGGAAGCTCCTACACATAAACTGTCTAGAAATGATGGCAGTCGATCTCACGCTGAGGCGCTTCTGTCCCCGAATAAAAGGCCATCACGTCCTAGTCCGCTCTGACAACATGTCAGTGGTGGCCTACATAAATCGCCAGGGCGGTGTCAGATCCCGAAACCTTTGCAGGTTAACAGAACGCCTCCTGGTATGGGCCCAGCACATTTTTTGCTTACTGAGAGCAGCACATGTGCCTGGTCACCTGAACTTGGGACCGGACAGATTGTCCAGGAACAATGTTCCAGCAGGGGAATGGTCTCTGCACCCGCAGACGATCCTTCTGCTATGGGAGACATTCGGCAGAGCGCAGGTAGACCTGTTCGCGTCTCAAGAGAACGCTCAATGCCCGAAGTTTTTCTCCAAGAGCAGGGAAGCGTTGGCCCACGTCTGGCCATGCTGCCCCCTCTATGTTTTTCCCCCCATTTCGCTCCTGCCTCAGGTGTTGGAACGAATAAGGGAAAACAGATGCTCAGTGCTCCTTGTGGCGCCGCTCTGGACGTACCAAGCATGGTTTCCAGTCCTGATGCAGCTGACGAGCACTGCCCCTTGGCCTCTACCGATGAGGAAAGACCTCCTCTCCCAGGCCAGCGGTTCAATCTGGCATCCTTACCCGGAGCGCTGGTCCCTGCACGCATGGGCCATCAACGGGTACCCGCAAACCTCCCCGACGGAGTGCTGAACACGATCACACAGGCTAGAGCACCGTCTACTAGGCGACTCTATGCCTCAAAATGGTCGGTGTTTTCTGGATGGTGCAAAGCCCATGACCTTTCACCTCCAGACTGCGGGGTCAAGGAAGTTCTTTCCTTCCTTCAAGAGCTAATGGATAAGGGCAGAACCCCATCCACGCTCAAAGTATATGTGGCGGCCATAGCTGCGTTCACAGAACCTGCGACTGGCCGTTCACTGGGGAAAAATGATCTGGTCATCCGCTTCCTTAAAGGAGCTAAGAGGCTGAATCCTCCCAGACCCCCCCTCAGTCCCCGTATGGGACCTTTTCCACGGTTCTGGAGGCCATGAAAGGTGCCCCATTCGAGCCAATCCACTTGTCGGATATGAAACACCTGTCATTCAAGACAGCGTTTCTTTTGGCTCTCGCTTCAGTGAAGCGCGTAGGGGATCTGCAAGCGCTCTCAGTAAGCGCGACATGTCTGGAATTTGGGCCAAATGACTCAAAAGCAATACTCAAACCAAGACATGGATATGTACCCAAATCCCTCAATACACCGTTTAGAGCCCAGGTTATCTCCCTGTCTGCTCTGCCGGTTTGTAGCGAGGAGAGGGACCCGAGCTTCCTTTGCCCAGTCAGGGCATTAAGAGCTTATGTGTCTCGCTCGTCAGTTTTCAGACAGACTGAGCAGCTGTTCGTTTCGTTCAGCGGGCGTTCTAAGGGACTGGCCGCATCGAAACAAAGCCTATCCAGATGGATAGTCGATGCCATAGCGCTGGCATACGCGTCAAAGGGCCTCGAGTGCCTTATAGGCGTTAAAGTGCATTCCACGAGAGGCATGGCCTCGTCGTGGGCTTGGTCTAGCGGGATTACCCTACAAGATATCTGTATGGCGGCAGGCTGGGCCTCCCTGTCTACATTTATAAGGTTTTATAACCTGGAAGTTCCCGCCTTACAGGCTAAACTGCTGTCGGTATAAATAAGTATTATCTGCCCCGAACTTTGGCTCAGAATACTGCATCCGCTCGAGCACAGCTCGCGACCGACCAAAGCTAACATGGGCAAAATAAGACCTGTGCTATTGCACAGTTCAGGCCGAATGCTTCAACCTGACTGTGTGGAACACTTAAGTGACTAGCTCCCTTAGGATGCTAAATGTTATTGAGAATGATGCTTCCAGCCTCTCTTCTCAGACTCTGTGTGAGTCTCTGGTGATTGTGCACTATATGAGCCCCGGGCACCTGCCCTTGGGACTTTGGTGTCAGATCCCAGCACGCACGGCGTTTTACATTGTGTTCCCCTAGCGTAAGATATTACGCAGTACGAGAGAACCTCTCGTAATAGAACGTACTCGGTTACTAACGTAACCTCGGTTCTCTCTAGAGAGGGAACGAATACTGCGTATCTTGCCGTGCATGCAGTACGCTCTGGTTCGCTTCGGCGATGAAAACCAGATTATATCAGCCCATCGAGCCGTATTTATAGGGCTAGGCCACGCCCGCTTCGGCGGGAGCGTGACGCAATGGGCGCGAAGTGCCCTCATTGGACGGTCACTGAATGGCCCTTCTCGATAGGCTGCTGCAATTGCCGCAGGTCAGCCAATAGGCACGCTAAGCCGCCTTGCCTATGTCTGCTTGCTGCTGCAATGCGTTTTACATTAATACAAAATTAAGGATCATTTTTTGGCTTCAATATCTCGAGGAAAAGAGGTTTTCCCCTAGCGTAAGATATTACTGTCATGGTTCTGCCTTCTTATCTGTGTATCTTCCTAGTGTTGTGGCAGGACCATGACAGACTCATGTTTTGTGTACAAGCGCATGGCCAATTGTCAAGGCCATGTGCTTGCGTTGTCTCGTCTCTTAACCCCGCCCCCTTGTTATCCTGATTCAGTCTTGATTGCTTCACCCGTGTCCCCTGTTATGTCTTGATTAGTCTCCTTATTTATCCCCTTGTGTTTGCTGTCTTGTGTCGGTTCATTGCCAAACGTTACTTGTGAGTATCCTGTGAAAGTCTTGTCATTGAAGGTCTAGTCATTGTTAGTATCTCTCGAAGTGTTGTTTGTTTTCTAGTATTTTGTCAGTGTCGTTGTCTAGTTAGTCACCAAAGTCCTGTCTTGTTTTGCCCCCTCGTGGGCTTTGTTTTCCCTGTTTTTGTCAATAAATTAATGTTGAGTGTTATATACTGTCTGCGCTTGGGTTCATCCATTACCTTCTTAACAGAATGAACCGACCAGAACTGAACCCAGCAGACAGTATGTCCTCCCTGCTTAAGCGACAGTCAGCTGATCAGGAATTATGGTGGCAGTCAGCTATCACCGACAGCAAGTTGGGCAAGCTTCCTTTCCCTCCCCAGGGAGAGAGGTCTCTGAGGAGATATGCTCAGGCCGTGGAAGCAAGGAGGTTTTTCTTACCTGAGATCCTTGTCAACCGTTACCTCATCGCGGGTCTCAACGCTCCGCCTCCTCTGGCTGAACGGGAGAGGCTGGTCCACCGGCTGTCGTGGGACTTCGGAGTCCTCTTCCGCTGAGACTGCAGTCCCTGCTGTACAGCCTCAACTGGTCACAAGCCCGGCTACGGCCTCTGCTCCGCGACCTAGGAAGAAGAAGAGGAAGAGGGGAGTCTCTTACCCTCCGTCTCTTCCAGAGCCCGCTACTGCAAGCGCTGTTCCAGGATCTGCGGAGAGAGTTGCAGCCGATCTAGCCGCTAAAGATGTTCTGCAAGCTGTTTCTGCTCATCAGGAGATGCCGGTCATCATTGCGGCCAAGGCCCTTTCTAATTACCTGTCCCGTCTTGTCGCGATTCTTGAACCCCCTGTCTGTCCTGCCTTGTCCTCCGCATCCAAGCCTGTCCCTGTGAGCGCTGCACCCGAGCCGGTCGCCGTGAGCGCCGCACCCAGTCCTGCCCTGTCACCTGCCGTGTCCCCCGTCAGAAGTCCTGTTACCTCATCCTCCGTGTCCTCTGTGTCCCCTGTGTCTGAGTCTGTTGCTGCAGCATCCCCGACTGTTTCCCCGTTCGTCCCTGCCTCCACCAGCCCCCGGACTGTTTCCCCGTTTGTCCCTGTCGTCACTAGTCCCCGGACTGTTCCCCCTGTCACCACGAAACCCCGGACTGTTTCGCCCAAGTCTCGTCCTCGTGTGTCTTCCTCCAGACCTACCCTGAGTTCTTGTCCTCAGCCCTCATCCCATGGACCCAAGGCCCCCAGTCCTCCCATCCACCCTGGACCACCCCCCATGAACTCTGTTATTCCTCCACCTCCCCTGCCATGTTTGATGTTTCTTATGTTTCACCCGGACCCTATGATTGTTTATTCTTGTATGCCTTTGATGTTGTTTTTTATGTTTTGCTGGTTCTTGTCCCTATCTCAGTCGGTCTTGTCTCATGCTTGATGTTATTTGTCATGCTTTGTTGGTTCATGTCTATGTCCTAGTCGGTCTTGTTTTGTGGTCTCTCTGAGGAGCGTCTGGAATCCGCTCCTTAGGGAGGGGATTCTGTCATGGTTCTGCCTTCTTATCTGTGTATCTTCCTAGTGTTGTGGCAGGACCATGACAGACTCATGTTTTGTGTACAAGCGCATGGCCAATTGTCAAGGCCATGTGCTTGTGTAGTCTCGTCTCTTAACCCCGCCCCCTTGTTATCCTGATTCAGTCTTGATTGCTTCACCCGTGTCACCTGTTATGTCTTGATTAGTCTCCTTATTTATCCCCTTGTGTTTGCTGTCTTGTGTCGGTTCATTGCCAAACGTTACTTGTGAGTATCCTGTGAAAGTCTTGTCATTGAAGGTCTAGTCATTGTTAGTATCTCTCGAAGTGTTGTTTGTTTTCTAGTATTTTGTCAGTGTCGTTGTCTAGTTAGTCACCAAAGTCCTGTCTTGTTTTGCCCCCTCGTGGGCTTTGTTTTCCCCTTTTTGTCTTTAATAAATTGTGTGAAGAGCATTCAGTCTGCTTTTGGGTTCGTCAATCTGCATCCACGTAACAATTACGCAGTACTCGTTCCCTCTCTAGAGAGAACCGAGGTTACGTTAGTAACCGAGTATGTTTTCTTTTTCTTTCTTTCTGGGTTGGGCAAAAAAAGCAATTATTCGATTAATCCTTCGATTAAGGCCACGAATTGGTTTAAGTAAAAGCATGCTGTTATTGAAAAACCCTCTGATAACTAGTAAATAATAGTACTAGTTATCTGCTTCACCCGTTTTTAGTAAATAATAGTACTAGTTATCAGTACTAGTACTGATAATAAATAATAGTACTAGTACTCTCTCTCTCTCTCTCTCTCTCTCTCTCTCTCTCTCTCTCTCTCTCTCTCTCTCTCTCTCTCTCTCTCTCTCTCTCTCTCTCTCTCTCTCTCTCTCTCTCTCTCTCTCTCTCTCTCTCTCTCTCTCTCTCTCTCTCTCTCTCTCTCTCTCTCTCTCTCTCTCTCTCTCTCTCTCTCTCTCTCTCTCTCTCTCTCTCTCTCTCTCTCTCTCTCTCTCTCTCGTGAAGTATTTCTGCACAGAAATATTGAGGGGAGGCACAGTCATTTTAACTGACAGTAAAATGCCACCTCACGGGCAATGCACCTGAGAACGGGTGATTTATTGCTCCATTCTGCTAAAGCCTGCACTGCCTTTAATTAGAAAATACTGAGGAGGCAGTCGAGTGCTTATGCATCGCTTAGATCTCCACTGCCGTCGATGTGCACTGCAGCATCTTCTCTAATATGTGAAAATAAAGATGTAACGTCAGCCTCCAGCATAAATGTCCATGTGTTAATCAGTCACGCTCCTGGTGAGTGAATAGTGCCTCTCATTCATGAAGGAGAGATCACGTGACGGTGTCATAATCAATGAGCCGTGCTGTTTGCAGGTTTTATCTTCTGCCACTTCATTAGCAGTTTTGTGCCTCTAAACTACAAATATCCTCAAAGCAATATAGAAACCATTTTACAATGAAAGCAGGGTGGGTAACAAACAATGTTTTGTTGCCAAGTGAGCTGAGGCATATCTATATATACACTCACCGGCCACTTTATTAGGTACACCTGTCCAACTGCTCGTTAACACTTAATTTCTAAGCAGCCAATCACATGGCGGCAACTCAGTGCATTTAGGCATGTAGACATGGTCAAGACAATCTCCTGCAGTTCAAACCAAGCATCAGTATGGGGAAGAAAGTTGATTTGAGTGACTTTGAACGTGGCATGATTGTTGGTGCCAGAAGGGCTGGTCTGAGTATTTCAGAAACTGCTAATCTACTGGGATTTTCACGCACAACCATCTCTAGGGTTTACAGAGAATGGTCCGAAAAAGAAAAAACATCCAGTGAGCGGCAGTTCTGTGGGCGGAAATGCCTTGTTGATGCCAAAGGTCAGAGGAGAATGGCCAGACTGGTTCGAGCTGATAGAAGGGCAACAGTGACTGAAATAACCACTCGTTACAACCGAGGTATGCAGCAAAGCATTTGTGAAGCCACAACACGCACAACCTTGAGGCGGATGGGCTACAACAGCAGAAGACTCCACCGGGTACCACTCATCTCCACTACAAATAGGAAAAAGAGGCTACAATTTGCAAGAGCTCACCAAAATTGAACAGTTGAAGACTGGAAAAATGTTGCCTGGTCTGATGAGTCTCGATTTCTGTTGAGACATTCAGATGTTAGAGTCAGAATTTGGCGTAAACAGAATGAGAACATGGAACCATCATGCCTTGTTACCACTGTGCAGGCTGGTGGTGGTGGTGTAATGGTGTGGGGGATGTTTTCCTGGCACACTTTAGGCCCCTTAGTGCCAATTGGGCATCGTTTAAATGCCACGGCCTACCTGAGCATTGTTTCTGACCATGTCCATCCCTTTATGGCCACCATGTACCCATCCTCTGATGGCTACTTCCACCATGTCACAAAGCTCTAATCATTTCAAATTGGTTTCTTGAACATGACAATGAGTTCACTGTACTAAAATGGCCTCCACAGTCACCAGATCTCAACCCAATAGAGCATCTTTGGGATGTGGTGGAACGGGAGATTCGCATCATGGATGTGCAGCCGACAAATCTGCGGCAACTGTGTGATGCCATCATGTCAATATGGACCAAACTCCCTGAGGAATGCTTCCAGCACCTTGTTGAATCTATGCCACGAAGAATTGAGGCAGTTCTGAAGGCAAAAGGGGGTCCAACCCGTTACTAGCATGGGGTACCTAATAAAGTGGCCGGTGAGTGTATATATATAGACTGATTAAAATATATATATATATATAGACTGATTAAAATATTTAACCGCGATTAATCACATTAATGTCATCGTTAACTCGCGATTAATCACACATTTTTATCTATTCTAAATATGTCTTGATTTATTTTTGTCCCATTATTTTTTCACATTTTAATGCTCTTATCAACATGGAAAACGGCTTACTTTGTGCAAATGTTTTTTTATTGAAAACAATATTTGCATATACTGTGTTCAATTTCACACTAACATTCTCACTTGGAGCAAATAATCTCTCACACAATGTAACACTGTCCATCAATAAAAGGGTGAAAGAAATATTGACGAGGGGGCGGAGAATTCGCATCGTCTGTGCGTGTCCTTGGCCATCATAAAGATATATTTTAGACTAGACGTGCTCCGAAGATGATAGTTCAGTTCACATCGACAAAACTCTTGGTCTTGTCAATGGAACCAATTGGCAACTTTTTAAAAGTAAACTTTCCATTCAGAATCTTATTGGCATCCATTTCGGCGTCTCGCGGTCCACTCAAAACTTATCGGTTACCTAACGTAACCTCGGTTCTCTCTAGAAGAGGGAACGAGTATTGCGTAAGTTAGCTTATGCTACGGGTAAAGTAATCTTTTCTCGAGATATGAAGCCAAAAAATGATCCTTAATTTTGTATTTATTGTCCACGCAGTGAAGCAGCTTGCAGACCTAGAGCAGGCTGTCTAACGTGCTCATTGGCTGCCCTGCGGCAACTGCAGCAGCCTACCACTGAGCCCGGCGTGACGTCACGGCCAATAAAGGGCGCTTAGCCCGCCAGAATGGGCGTGGCTTAGCGTATATAAGCGGGGCTCGGAGGCTGTCTCCCTGGTTTTCATCGACTGAAGCGAAAGTAGCTCGTGGCGCGAGCACGGCAGGTTACGCAATATTCGTTCCCTCTTCTAGAGAGAACCGAGGTTACGTTAGGTAACCGATACGTTCTCTTACGAGAGGTTATCTTGTATTGCGTAAGTTAGCTTACGCTACAGGAACTCTTTGTCAACGCCGTGCGCGCCAAGCATCCACTTCATGAGTCCCAGGTAATCCCGGGGATTCCCAGCAACGCGGGAATCCCCTCGGGCTGGCACATGTACATAAGCACTCATAGGGAATACAGAGCGGCATTGCCGGTCCATATAAAGCATATAAGCATATTAACCCAATATAGTGCAGCTCAACCAGGAGAGCTAAGTCACGTGAGAGTTGCCTGCGCACGATCAGATCTGGACAGAACATACATCTCAATGAAAGCGCAGCGTAAGTTCCGCCAGGAAGACTCCATTGTTACGTCATGTATTACCTTCTCATCTATCCAATCGCGTTCTAATACGTGAAGTATAAAAGATCCTTACTTACACTTGTCTGAGTTCGCAGATGCTGACGCTTTCACTTTCCACCATCCTCCCCACCTCCACCAAGACGGTCTTCGCTCCATCCTTTCCACCACCACCAGGTCGGTCCCTTCCAAAACCCCAAGGGGGGGTCGGTTGCGCCCCTGCCTTCATCTTCAGGCAGGATATGCAGAATCCGTACCCTCGGATCGCGAGTTATGGACGGGGCCTACGCCAAAGAACTTAATTGCATATATGGCTTGCTGGGCTGTTAATAAAATGCATTATTGTACAGTATATTATCTCCCGAGTCTTTCTGGTAGAACTTATACTGACAGAAGTTTAGCCTGCAGGGCGGGAACTTCCAGGTTATAAAACCTTACAAAGGTGGACGGGGAGGCCCAGCCCGCCGCCACACATGTGTCATGAATTGAAATTCCGCTGGACCATGCCCACGACGAGGCGATGCCTCTAGTGGAATGAGCCCTGACGCCCAAAGGGCATTGCAGACCTTTTGAAGCATAAGCAGCTGTGATAGCGTCCACTATCCATCTGGATAAGCTTTGTTTCGAGGTGGCGAGACCCTTGATGCGCCCACCAAAAGAAACGAAAAGCTGCTCCGAGCACCTGAAGGGGGCGGAGCGCGTAATGTAAACCCTCAGCGCCCTGACAGGGCAGAGGAGATTAACATCGCTCTCGCTATCGGATGCTGGCAGAGCCAATATGGAAATGACCCTCCTCTAAGGAAGCGGATGACAAGCTCGTTCCTTCCTAATGACCGGGCACGCGTCGACTCTGCGAATGCTGCAACAGCCGCCACAAGACTTTAAGTGTGGAGGGGTCCTGCCCTTATCCAACAGCTTTTGAAGGAAGCTAAGCAACCGCGAGACCCCACACGTTCGTGGGTCCAGATTTTTGTCGGTGCACCATTTGGAGAAAACAGACCATTTAGAGCTTTCTAAATGGTCTGACCGTAAAGCTTTCTTGTAGAGGGAGCTCTAGACTGCGTAATCGTGTTCATCACTCCTTCTGGCAGGACAACGGGTATCCGTTGATCAACCATGTGTGCAGAGACCAGCGCTCTGGATGGGGATGCCAGATTGAGCCGCGGGCTTGAGAAAGGAGGTCTGTCCTCACCGTAATCGGCCAAGGGGCTGTATGTGACAGCCACGTCAGCTCCGGGAACCAAGTTTGCCCCCGGGGGGACATTGTCCCTGGACAGTTTGTCTGGGCCGTCGTTCAGGTGGCCTGGCACATGCGCAGCTCTCAGCGAGCGCAGATGGTGCTGAGACCAAATAAGGAGGCGTTCTGTTATATCGCAGAGGTTCCTGGATCTGATACCGCCCTGACGGTTCACGTAGGACACCACAGACATGTTGTCCGTACGGACTAGAACATGGTGGTCCCGTATGAACGGGAAGAAGCGCTTCAGCGCATTCTCGACAGCTATCATTTCCAGACAGTTTATGTGAAGGAGCTTCTATTGGTCTGCCTTCGAACCTGACCTGAGATGGACGCGTCCGTCGAGATGACCTTTCGATACGAGACAGCTCCCATCATCACTCCCCGCTGATACCAGTCGGCCGCTAACCAGGGCTGCAGAGCTGTAATGCAGCTCTGAGTCACTCTGATTCATTTGCAGCCGGAGGCCCAAGCTCGGCGTGACGCTCGAGCGTTCAGCCAGCGTTGTAGCGGGCGCATGCGCAGTAAGTCCAGCTGGAGCACTGCAGCAGCTGAGGCCATACAGCCCAGCATCCTCTGAAATGTCTTCAGAGAAGCGATGCTGCCTTTCTGAAAAGACGCGGCTAGGCGTTGAACACGGCGCGAAACGAGCCGTCATAGCCACAGAGTCCAGTTCTACTGGAGAGCGACGCGGAGACATGAGAGTGGAGCCTCGCGAAGAATGGTGCATTCCACGATTTAGCAAGCTCCGTGTGGAGTTCTGGCAGAAAGGACGCAAACCTGGATGTGGGCGCTTGTCTGCGGCGATGAAGAAAGCAGCCGCCGAGTCTGTTAGGCGCGGGCTCCTTCGGCGGTGACCACTCAAGGCCGAGTCGGTCGACGGCCTGAGAAAGGAGGCGCATAAGCTCAGCGTCCATGCCAGCACGGGTCCGGACGGATTCCTGGATCGAGGAGGATGCGGATTGATGAGAACCCGACCACTCCTCACTGTCCGACACCAGAATAGATCAGCAGTCTCCTGTGGCGTTTCCTTCCGCCTCGTCACCTGAAGCGACGGCAGTGTGGGCCGAAGCCGGCAGCTGCGTGTCCGTGAGGAGGGGCAGAGAAGGCGAGGGCGAAGCTCGAGGGAGGGACTCCAGCGAGCATCTCGCGGTGACCACAGGCTCCGGTGGCCTTTGAGAACGGCGCTTCTTCTTGCGCGGTCCAACAAAGGGCGGAGTGACAGCTTCAGGGTTAAAAACTTTGAGTCGAGCCCGCAGGGTCGACATCGGAAATTCCTCACAGTGCAAGCAGCCTCCCAACGAGAGAGCGAGGGCTGCGTGTTCCTGGCCCAGGCAGAAAGCACAGATCACATGGCGGTCTCCGGCACTGAGCGGGGCTCGGCACGAGCCGCAGGAAGTGCGAGACATTTTGATATGTCTCTGGATCGGCAGACGTGACGTGAAAAGTCTCTGGATCGGCAGACGTGATGTGAACAGTCTCTGGATCGGCAGAAGTGACGTGAAGCTCAGGATCGGCAGAAGTGACGTGAAGCTCAGGCTCGGCAGGACTGACGTGAAGCTCAGGCTCAGCAGGAGGGGATATGGTGGGTTCACGGAGCACCTCCTCTACCACACCCACAGTAAACGATGAGCCGCTCAACAAAAAGGCCAAGTCAATATAGTGCTCTAAAGTCTAGTGAGGATCATGCAAGGGCATTAATGAACTGAGCGGTTCAGATAGTCCCCCTCTAAACAATATCATGAGGCACAAAGAATCCATTGAATTTGCCAATTTAATGAAGTCTCTCACGTCCTCCTCTATGGGCCAGACACAGAATCTGTGCTGCTGGATTCATCGTTGGTCGGTCGTTCTGTAACGATTAGGCAGGAATGAAGCAGAGAGAATCCAAATGCAAGTACTAATTTAATAAACAAACAGGTAATCCAGGGCAAAACAACAGAACATGAACTCGGAACACGGGACAAGAAAACAGCTACAAGCAACAACGACCAACAACCAACATCTGAAGCACAGAGGTTTAAATACACAGACAAACAAGCTAAACAAGATAACAAGGGGGCGTGGTAAATCCGAGACACCTGGGGAGACTAATAACCAAGACAAGGAACACCTGTGGACACTGAGGAAACAATTAACAAATGACAAGACACATGGCAGGATCACATGACAAACAGGGAAAAACCCAAACACCGTAAAAAAAAAATAAAATAAAAAACCCACACCGTGACAAGAAGTAAAACTGTTCATTAACTAAAGTCGTCAAGTTCTTCATAATGAGTCATTTGAGTTCATTTTGATTTAGAGACTGCTTTCCTCTGCTGTTTGTTGTGTGATCCATAATAATATAATGAAACAACAAAACAGCACTGCTAGTAATTGTTCAATGAGATTGTATAGTATTGCATTTGCCCAGATAAATTAATTTCTACAGAGCCATTGTAATTTATTTAATTTTTCCGCAGTATTAAAAAATAAATAAGATGGTAATCCCATTTATACAAAATGTAGCTTGATAGGGAATCATTATCTTAATAGGGTCTGTGTTTACATATTTGAGTGTATATTACAATATGCTTGCAGATTATCCATTGAATTTGCCAATTTAATGAAGTCTCTCACGTCCTCCTCTATGGGCCAGACACAGAATCTGTGCTGCTGGATTCATCGTTGGTCGGTCGTTCTGTAACGATTAGGCAGGAATGAAGCAGAGAGAATCCAAATGCAAGTACTAATTTAATAAACAAACAGGTAATCCAGGGCAAAACAACAGAACATGAACTCGGAACACGGGACAAGAAAACAGCTACAAGTAACAACGACCAACAACCAACATCTGAAGCACAGAGGTTTAAATACACAGACAAACAAGCTAAACAAGATAACAAGGGGGCGTGGTAAATCCGAGACACCTGGGGAGACTAATAACCAAGACAAGGAACACCTGTGGACACTGAGGAAACAATTAACAAATGACAAGACACATGGCAGGATCACATGACAAACAGGGAAAAACCCAAACACCGTAAAAAATAAATAAAATAAAAAACCCACACCGTGACAAGAAGTAAAACTGTTCATTAACTAAAGTCGTCAAGTTCTTCATAATGAGTCATTTGAGTTCATTTTGATTTAGAGACTGCTTTCCTCTGCTGTTTGTTGTGTGATCCATAATAA